GCATCGGGCTCCCTGCTCGGCGGGAAGCCTGCTTCTTCCTCTCCCCCTCCCTCTGCTTGTGTTCCCTCTCTCGCTGTGTCTCTCTCTGTCAAATAAATAAAATCTTTAAAAAATAAAAAAAATTAAAAGCACATGAAAAGGTGTGTCATCCCCAGGTGCCTGGCTGCTCCATCGGTAGAGTGCATGACCCCGCACCTTGGAGTCCTGAGGTAGAGGAGGAGGGGAGAGTTTACTTAAGAAAAAAAAAAAAATCATTGTGTCACCCTAAGAAATTTTTCAACCCAAAGCAAGCTTGTCGCCTGTGCCACAGAAATGCCACCTCACAGAGGGCCGGCACAGCTGTACCAAGGAGCGCTGAACGAGGGTGACGTTTTGGGTTGCAGGTGGAGTCATGGCATTGGCCATCACCAGCTTCATGGCCGCGGTCAAGTTTCACGACCTCACCGAGCGCATCGCCAACTTCCAGGAGAAGCTCTTCCGCTTCGTGGTGGTGGAGGAACGGTACGAAGAGTCCTTTTGGATCTGCGTGGCCAGTGCCTCGGCGCACACCGCAAACCTGGTAGTGGTGGCGATCAGCCAAATTCCACTCCCGGAGATTAAGACCAAAATCGAAGAGGCCACAGTCACGGCTGAGGATATCCTGTATTGATCGCCCTCTGCGGCTCACACCCTCTCCTGAGTCAGTTCTGCAGTGCGAACAGGGACCTCCTTGCGCGCGCAGGCTTTGCAGTCCAGAGCGCCGCGTTCTGGAAGGTAAGGAGAAGGAAGTGCAGGGAGGAAGGGCGGTCCCTGGACCAGGCAAGAAAGCTTTCCCGAACTCTGGCCTCTCTGCCCTTGCCTCTCACTGACCTTGGAGTTAGAGACTCGGCCACTTGCCAGCTGTGTGATCACTGGACGATTCACTTCCTGTCTGCTTCTTACTTTCCTCATCTGTGAAATGGGGGTGTAAGACCTCCCAAGGTTGTAATGAGGTTTAAATGGGCAATTGTTGCCAACCTTTGAATCAGTATATGTATCTGTGATTAGAGAGCTCTACAGATATAAGGTGATGAACACTCCAGTAAATGCCTGTCGACCCCTGCTCTGTTCCACACAATATTAGAGGGGGGAGGAAAGAGGCATATGGTAACATTCCCGTCCTCCAGAAACATTTCATCCTTCCACATGATAGGCATCAGATAGGAACAGTAACACTAAGAATGAAAATAACTGCCTTTTTTCCTTTTTTTTTAAGATTTTATTTATTTATTTGAGAGAGAGCAAGCTATAGAGACAGAGAGAGAGAGAACACAGGAGCGGGGGGGAGGGGCAGAGGGAGAGGGAGAAGCAGACTCCCCGCTCAGCAAGGAGCCCGATGAGAGACCCCATCCCAGGACCCCGGGTTCGTGACCTGAGCCAAAGGCAGACGCTTAACCAACTGAGCCACCCAGGCGTCCCTGCCTTTTTTTTTCTTTAGTGGTTACTACATACTGGACACTGTTCTAGAAGTCCTACATATACCGGGTCCTCACTATAAGTTCAGATTGTTGGTACTACTTTATATCCATTTTATAGATGAAGAAACTAACGTATCCAGACATTGGGTAACTTGCTGAGGTCCAGAATTCAGTTGAGGAAGTCTGGAACCAAAGTGTATGCTTGTAACCACTTTGCTAATCCCCTGTTGGATGGTCAAGCAGTTGGAATGCAGTGTGATAAATGCTAGGACAGTACATGCATGAAGGACTGAGGGAAGGAATTAGTTCTCCTGCATGGGATGTGGTATTAAAGAAAGTATCACAGGGTTGACATTTGATAGGAACTTGGAAAGATGAGTAGACTTTTTCCATTGGGGAAGGAAGCAGGTTTGGAGAAGGGCATTTCAGGATGAGTCAGCGGTGAGGGGAAGGCATAAGGGATGGAATTACAAAGGGGCCTGGAAGCATGTGAATACCCAGAGGGATTAGAATGTTGTCCTAATTCATGAGTTAGATAAACCCCGTTGCTTTGTGTTGGGTTTCCCTTAGGCAGTACTATGATGGTTAATTACCTGTTCCAACTTGGCTAGGCCACTGTACCCAGATATTTGGTCAAACACTATTCTAGATGTTTTTGTGAAGGTGTTTTTTGAATGGGATTAACATTTCAATCAGTAGACTTTGAGTAAGAGAGATTGCCCTCCAGGATGTGGGTGGGCCTCACCCAATCAGTTGAAAGCCTTAGGATAAAGACTGACCTCCCTCAAGGGATTGGGAATTCTGCCAGCAAGCTGCCACTGGACTCAAACTGCAACTCTTCCCTGGATCTCCAGCCTGCCAGCCCAGCCTGCAAATTTTGGACTTGCCAGTCTGCACAGTCATATGAGCCAGTTAAAAAAAAAAAAAATTCTCTGGGGCACATGGGTGGCTCAGTCGGTTAAGCTTCTGCCTTCAGCTCAGGTCATGATCCCAGGGTCCTGGGATCGAGCCCCGAATCGAGCTCCTTGCTGAGCAGGGAGCCTGCTTCTCCCTCTGCCTCTGCTTCTCCCCCTGCTCATGCTCGCGCTCTCTCTCTAATAAATAAAATAAAATCTTTAAAAAAAGAATTCTCTTTCCTTCTGCCTGTCTTTCTCTCTCTTTGCACACACATGTCCTATTGATTCTGTTTGTCTGGAGAGCCCTTGCTCATACAGGTACCAAACTCCATTAATTCACTATCCCTACAATGCCTGCTGGGGTGAATCCTTTCTCAGGTCCCCTGTCTTCATGCCAAGTAAAAGTTGTCTCATCCCCTAAATTTGCTCCATCTAAAATGACCACCCGATTTGGACTTACTTTACCTTTGCTTGACACTGAGCTTCTGGAGGTTTCCATGGCATCTTTTCTGTTCTAATTGCTCATGATTCCCTGCTGGGCCCATCTGTCCCTTCCAGATGGAAGGGACATCCTTCCATCCCACAGCCTCAGTACTGCTTAGCAGACAGATGTCACTCATCAAATATGCAGATGGCACAGGGCTGGAAGGGGTAGTTAACGTGATAGGAGATGGATCCAAGAGACAGTGGCAGAGTGCAGAGCTGGGTTGGGAAAACGACTGGAAATGTCAATGTCTTAACAAGTTTACCATAAAGTCCTGCTGACCGTTGAAAAATAAATGATACGGAAGACTGGCAACAGTTTATTATATGGTAAATATCTGAGAGCCTTGTTACATTTATTCATTCAATGAGTATTGAAATTGATCTAGGGGCTGGGAGTAGAGCAGAGAACAGACAGACAAAAATCCCTGCCCTCCAGAGATTTCATTCTCTGAGTGCCTGGGGCTGATTCACACTGGACTGCGTGGGATGTGTTTGCTAACCACATTAGCCCGGCCACAGCCTTCAACGTGATCACTGCTTCAGGTGTGTGCAGAGCAAATTCACTTTTGCCTCTGGTAGTGGAATGACTTCATCAAGATGCTAACCTTGACCAAGATGGATGTGTTCCAAGGAGTCCAAGTGCAGGCTTTTGTGAATTTTCCTGGCAACTGAGTTCAGAGCTTTCAAGGGTTTCAGAAGCATCTGTAACACCTTGAAAGTGTCAAACCGTGACCACCAGGTGACGCCCACCTGGTATAAACACAGCATCGTGTCCCCTGGGGTCCTAGGGACCCCTCTCCATTCCCTCTTATGAAGTAACTAAGAGATTCATAGGCTCTTATTCCCCCCCACCAAATTGCAGACTTGAGTGGTTCCCTATTGCTAATGACAGTCTAAATAGAAAATAAATTCCTTTTTTAAAAATTAAGTGTCCGATGTTCAAAGTCACCAAAATGGGGGGTAAGTAAATAATTGGTGTGAAAGTAAAATCTCAGGCCCAGAGCCCATCGAAATTGTTATATTTTTCCCACACCTAGGAAAAAAAAAAATCACCAAACTCACTTCCTGCCTAATGCTTCAAGTCACCCTTGGTAGTGGCTGGGGGTCAAATGGGGGAAAAGTGTTAATGTGCCTTAGGTGAGGCCCAGCCCTTTCGACGTCTCCATTCCTCAATTACAAAATGAGAAGTAGCAAACTACATGATAATGACCACCATCTAGTGTGGGCCAGGCACTCTCCATACTTTCTTCCTCATTCTGACAACAATTATTCAAAATAAATATTTTTGTCTTTATTTTACAGATGAGCAATTTTAGGTTCAGAGAACTGATGTAGCTTGCTCAGGTCACCTTATTAGTAAATAATGGAGAAAGGATTCAACCCCCATCTGTATAAGGCCAAGGCCATTGTTTTCCCTACTGCACCATGACTACCTTTCTTGAAAGATGTCTAAGGCCCCTTCCCAGGGTTTCTGCAGGTGGCTATGTGAGTTACACCCGGCCCAAGAGGTAGCTCTTCAAATCTAGCCCATGCCCCCGCTGGCTTGTCATGGCCTGCACCCTCGGGAAAGTTTCCACCCAGAGGGGGTGTCTTCTAATGTTCACCAAAGTGTCTGATGGGCTCCCAGGGCCCCATTCCTTCTAGCCTAGCAGTCCATGTAAAGTCAAACTGTTAATCGTAACATTATTCTGTAACATTGGTTAGAGTGTGATAATGATGATTAATTCTCATATGTCCTTTTAAAGGTAACTATCATATGCATACATTGATATATCATTACTGATACTGCAGAGATCAAAGCCATTGCAACTGAGCTAATTTCAGAGAAGTAATTCATTATCAGCGAAACGAAGTCCTACTTCACGTTCGCTCTGTGACTTTGGGCAGTACGTGATGTCTCGGTCTGTTTGGGCTGCGATAACAAATTACCATCGACTGGCTGAAACGACAGAAATGTATTTCTCACAGTTCTGGAGGCTAGAGTCAACGATCAAGGTGCTGGCAGATCTGGTGTCTGGAGAGAGCCTGTGTCCTGGCCTGCAGACGGCCAGTTTCTTGTAGCCTCACGTGACAGAGTCAGAGTGCCAGAGACCAGAACACGCTCTCCCGTCCCTCCGTATAAAGGCACTAATCTCACTCATCAGGGCTCCACTCTCATGGCCTAAACCACCCAAAGTCCCCACCTCTTAAATACATCACACTGGGGGTTAGAATTTCAACATATGGATTTGGGGAGAACACAAATATGGGCCATAAAACAGGATTTTCACTAATGAAGACATACCAATAAAGTAAGCAATCAATCAAAGACTTTTGGATAGCAAAAACCCTTCCATGTCAAATCAGAACAGAGTTATGTTGCAAATACACTCCTCTCTCTATCAAGAAAAATAGGAAACCCTCTGAAAATTGGATTAAACAGTTCTTCACACTTCCGAAGAATGTAATGAAAATGCTTGCTCTTTCACTGAAAAAATAAAATAAAAAACTGTTTTCTAAATCATAAGGTTGCTGTGCAGCAGTTGGTGATCAGTGAGAACTAATGCATGCTTTAGCAAAAATGTCCAACATAATCCAAAATAACAATTGTATTAGTCTCCTATTGCTGCTGAAGCAAACTGCCATGAACTTGGTGGTTGATAACAACATGCATTTATTATCTTAAGAGTTTTGGAGGCCAGAAGTCCACCATGGGCCTTTCTCGGGTAAGTAAAGCTATTGGCAGGGTGGCCTTCCTTCTGGAGGCTCTAGGGGAGAGTGTGTTTTCCTGCTTTCCCGCCTTCTAGAGGCTGCCTGCATTCCGTGGCTTGGGGCTCTTTCCAGCAATGATGTCCCTCCAACCTCTGCTTCCAT